AAAATTAATTTCGGTTGTCTTCAAATGTAATCACGAATTTTTGTAAAATGCATTGAAAAACATAAATTTCGAATCGCTTTTTTACTCCAGGCTATTCCCGCATCTTTGGTATTTTTTATTAGAACCGAACGTCATTTTTGGAACAAACCTTAATCATTTGGATCTGTGGAACAACCAATGGGAGCATTTGATTCCTGGAGTCTTTCATAATCTTCCAAACCTGACAGAAGTGAACCTCAGCGGTAACCGCTTAAGTAACATCCCCTCTCACATTTTCGAAGACTGCCTTAAACTACGGATCCTCCGATTGACGTCCAATTATATAAACCATATTGAACCGAGAGCATTTTCGGGTCTACATTTGGAGATGCTCAACCTGAGAGACAACAAAATACAAGTTTTGGCAAGTGACACATTTGCTGGTCTTCGAGTTGATGCATCTTTGAGGCTTGATGAAAATAATATCGTCGAAATTGCGCCACAAGCATTCAGAAACTTGACAGCTGGATGGGTAGGATTTTGTTATAAGGGTGGCATCATTGACATATATGGCTGGGGCGCAGGTGATTCCATAAAGGAGTTTTCCTTCGACAACTGTCAAGAGGGGTACTAGTGATTCGAACAACAGTAAAACAGCGGATCTATATTGCGACCTCTTACAGTACAAGAAAAGCGTATGGAGCATGGATTTGCGACATCAGCCTTGTTGCTGTTATCAAATTTCTAGATATATTCAATCTTGAAATAAAGAGAGTAGACCATTGTGAAATATAGAATCAAATCATGTCGATGAATAATTGTCTATAAAAGCTGTAACATCCATTTCCTTGGTCACTTTGTAATGAATTCCCCGTTCTTGTGATTGGGGACTCAAGTATTCCATCTAGCATTCCTTTAAAAGGCTAAAAATACAATCAGAAAGTCAATGAAACCTGTAAATTTTATGAGAATTATTACATAGAAATTTAAAAAAATTCAGGTCAGAATTGAAAATTTAACTGAGTTTTGAGATATTCGTCTTGTTTTTTACGAATATTAATGAGCTCCCTTGAAGTCAACTAAAAACTTGGGATTTCAGGCCAACTTTCACCCTGAATTAAAGTGGCACTTTTATGGAAATTATTATCAGATTTTAAGATAATTTAAGATAAAATTTCAATTTTTTTATGTATAAATCTAGTAACTATCGCTGTAAATAATCCTGAAGGATTAATACATTCAATAAATTGAAAAAAACAATGCAATTTTTCTGTAGCGGGGTAAGGGTCTCTATATTTTAGAGACCCCGGCCTGTGAGACAAGTGTATGGACCCCGTACTGAAGGGGCTAACCAATGGAATTTCGACAAATAATAATGTGATGAATGATGTAAGAGCCGCAATAATTGGAATGAGTTTTGTTCGTTTCAGATGAGTTCCATACCGACGTCCAATGGTCGCGATTGGCTAAATCCTTAGTTCGGCTTGGCCACTAGGACATCCCGTAAGGGAGAAATCCTGTCAATAATCGCGTAGCTCGATAATATTTTGGCCCAAACAACGAAAATCTCTAGGTCCCCGATAGCTAACTTACTCAAACTCCTAACACATATCACAAAAATATTACCCGAAAAAAATCATACCTACCCGTCAATATATTCGAAACGTGAAACGATCACCAAAAGATAGCTAATACGAAATTCTGCTTGTCAAAAATTATATACGATAAACGCTCTGGGTCTTTGTCTGACCCACGCTTAATCCTACGTTCTCGATGGTCTCTGGATCGCCTAAGGCATTCCCAGAATTCCTTACAGAGAAAAGCGTACGGAGTATGGATAGGCCACATTAATTGACAGTATCACGTCATATAATCCTGGTAAAAATGATCCGCGAAAATTTAATCCTGCAAAATGATCCTACTCAAATTAATCCTGATGCAATATAATCCTGAACAAAATGATCCTGGATGATTTGATCCTGAGATTGTTTAACGATTATATTGCGATCAATTTCCAAAAATTCTGATAACTCTGTGTTAAATATTTTTAATTTCCGCTTTTAATTGATGGAAGTTGTATTCTAGAATACAATTTCAATTGTGGCAATTGTTTCTTGTAAGTGACGATTGTTCTTTTTTCTCTCATTTTAATTTTTCCAGGAAATAAATTCATGTCTAATTTGTGTGTAAATACCGAACGTATTTGGGTGACGCTGTGTAGAAAATTTAATGTTAAACTACTGAATGTTGTTAAAAGTTATGACAGAAACAATATCTTAAAGTATCTCAAGAGAATCGCTTATAATATTAATTACTGAATTGTGCAAGTGTTTCTTTCAACAATTTAAGTTGTCTGAACACAATTTTTTCGATGACGTCATTGATTTTTCATGTTTGTTTTTTTGTTAATCAAGTTTGACGATACGATTCGAACAATTATTTTAATATTTCATGAGTGCATGTTTGTTTTGAGATTTGAGGGCTTGCAACATTTTTCACGTTTTGATTGCAGTACCATGTCTGCATGTTTACGTTTCAAAAATAAATGATTGTAATTTGTTGAGTATTTTACGTCGCATTGTTTTCCCCATTTTTTCCGATTTTTTTGCGTCAAATTTTGTTACTAAGTTTTTTGCACTGGGATTATTTGTATAGGATTTTTTTTTCGGGATTTTTTGACGACCACCAAATTGGTTAAGATCATTTTTTAAAGGATTTTTTGACTCCGACTAATTTGTTCAGGATTAATTTTCGAGGATTAAATGACGTGGAATATTAATTGGTCTTGCTGCTATTATCAAAGTATTGATATTCCATGTTGGAAGAAATAGAGTAGACCAATATGAAATATATACTGAAATCATATCGATGAATCATTGTCAATTAAACCTTGTGACATTTATTTCCTTGGTCTATTTATAATCATTTCCCCCTGCATGACCATTGTTCTTTAGCATCAGTGGAACCTTTCCGGGATGATTATTGCCGAACCTGTCGCAGTCGAAAAATACTATGAGGGTTTTAAAATATTATAATTGGAATATTCCGAAACATAAAAACGTACGCACTTTTATAAATCTTTAGTTGAAATTGCCCTATCAAATTTCGGAAATTTTTATCAAATGACGTTTTCACTTGAATTTCAGAAACTCTCGTTATTGGGAACTCAAGTATTTCATCTAACATTCCTTTAAAAGGCTGAAAATGCAATAAAAAAATCCATGGAAAATGTAAATTTTATTGCAATTGTTACGTAAAAATTCAGAAAAATCAGAAAAATTCACGTGAGATTTGAAAATTCAACTGAGTTGTCAGAAGTTCGTCATGCTACTACCAAAGAATTATGAACTCAACTAAAAACTTGATTTTTTATATCGACTTTCACCCTGAATTGAAATGGCACTTTCCTGTAAATTATTACTCGATTTTCCATGAAATTTCAATTTTTTTTTCATAAGATTACATCAATCTAACGGAGTTTTAGGTATTAAGGAGAGACTACTATGAGTTTTTAAAGTGGCGGGCGATTGGAATAAGATATCTCATACATTAAACATCGATAATATATGTCTAAAAACGAAAAATTAGTGAAAAAAATTAATTGTTTATTGTTCGTTTGCTCCGCAGACGCTTGAAATGTTAAAATCAGTCCACGGCCTGCAATTTTTTAGCTACAGAGGTTTTTTTTTGCAAAATATTTGAAAAAATGTGTGCGATAGTAATTGCGAGTTAATTTTTGGAAATTCGACTCCTTTTTTAATAAATTAATACAGCCCGATTAATAAACAAATTACAGCATTCATGAAAAAGCCCGAAAAATCTTTCTGAAAGAATCGAGAATATATTTTAAATATTTTAAGCATAATTTTTCCGTGTAATAAGGGCGATTTGATAGTGTGAAACTCCGCTAAGATATTGGGGCCAATTTGGAACAAAAAAAAATCATTGAAAAAAACTTGAAATTTTCACAGAATTATAACTCCCTCAATTATCAATACTTTTAAATTTTTTTTCAAAATTTTTGTCCAATTGCCAACTTGTCAGAAAAAAATTGACATGAAAATCCCTAGCATCAATTTTTATGGCCTACAGATTTGACGTGAATCTGTTCTTTTATAATTCATAATTGTGTACCACCCACTGACCATCAGCTAGTGATGAACCAACTATCGGCCGAGTAAACAAGTCAACTCCCTCTTGAGTCGCCATCGAGTAGTCATTGATCGATCCACGATAAACGAAACAGATGATTACGAGTCCGTTTAGCTCAACATATGACAAACACGGAATTCTCACTCTTCTCGTAAAGCAACAAATTTTTTATTTTTGGTGCATAAACAACTTTTGCGGAATTAATTTGCCCTGTATATAAAATTAGACGTTCGTGTACTAAAATAACCAATTAACTATTAATTTTATCAAATCTAAGAATTGAAGAAAACAATAGATTTAGAAGAATTTAGTGTCGTTTTTGGTTTTTATTCGGTTACGAAATGGTAAACTTATAAATTACGATTGGATAATGAAATTCTAAATTTTAGTCCCGTGAAGATAAATTAACACAACCATTTTTCAAAATGTTGAATTTTTATTTGACAGAATGTGCAACAGTGATTATGACGGAAATAGTCATTTTACTGAAGAGGAGAGTAGAGTAATTATCATTTGCGTCGTACATTAGTTCGCATTGTTAATTTTAATATTAAGTGATAAAACATATTGGAGTATGAAAAATATCGATGGTCTTTACCACAATTTCTGTTTTTCCAACTGGTCGTATTATATGAAGCCACGGGATTTCAATGAGAAATTTTTTTCTCGCAGTATTCAAGTTCTCAAAAACAAATAAAAATGAAACTAGTAAAATACTGAACTCAAGCTTCATTAAAACGAAAAATAGATAACTATTTACAGTATTAACCACGATAAACGAAACAGATAGAAAAATGACTCCTCTAGCTCAACATATTACTCTAAAAAATATTAAAATAAAAGTAAAAAAGGAACATTTGAGCCAATAATGAAATGGTGAAGCTCTTCGGATCAATGATCCCTTCCTAAAAATAATTTTTCCCAGTCTCTCCCATAACTGAGAAGATTCAACAAATAAAGAATAAAAAATCATCAATTGCAAGAATTTTGAAAATACAAAATTGAAAGAATACGAAAAATCACTTTCAAAGAACTCCTTTCGACTCTTTGTTCCAACTTTACTCTCCACTAGAATCATATCGTTTCTCACAACATAAAACTACGACATTCTATTTCGACTCAGCCACTTCTTAATTACCAATATTGCACTTGCGCTATAAAATTCAGAATGTTGAGGATATTTAAGAAATAGTGAGCGTGGAATAAATATTTGTGTAAAAAATGCTCGACCTAAAATGAAGAAATACCTGAATGAAAATGAAAGTACTACTACTGCTAATCTGTTCTATTCTAGGAATTTATCATTTATAATCACAGAAGACATTGATTCATGAACGGTTTTTCTCTTCAAATAAGCGAGATATTTTGCATCGCTTCAATCAATTTCACCAATTGTTTCAAACAAAGTACTTATCCATGTATGTTAATCTCTCGGGGTATCATAAAGCCTTCACCATAAAGATGGAAAGTTTGTTTGAATACAGTACAACATTAGTAGTACTGTAACTACTATTTATCTGCCCTATTCTATGAATTTATAATTCATAATGACAGAAGATATTGATTCATGAACATTTTGTTTCTCCAAATAAAGGAGATATTTTGCATCGATTCAAATAATTTCACCAATCGTTTCAAACAAAGTAAAGATTCTTGATTTCTGAGTATGGTGGAGTGTGAAGAGAATTAGCAACAAGAGCTCCAAGCTTGTGAGCATACTGGAGAGGAGCAGGGACTCGAATAGTGTGACTATTCGTAAAATACATGTGTGTTAATTTATAAGAGATGATTTCGATTTTCTCCAGTGGGAGACGAGCAGAATTATGAACGACATTGTAATAAGTGGGGCTCACTGTGTCGTCCTCAGCAACATGGGATACCAGGTAGAAGTCACTCCGCCCAGGCTGTGTGATGACACTGTCCACTACAGTCCCCAAGGGTGGATTCCTCGACCCATGGAAGAGTTTGCTGTGTGCATTCGTGGAAACGAGGATGTACGAGAGTTTCAATCGCCTTTCGTCACCGTAAACCCTGGAGAGGGCACCGTGAACGCGACGAACTTCGTGCTCTGTGATGAGTCGAACCTCTCTCTCGAGAACACTACCTCGGTAAATTATTATCCTCGAGGGGAGGCGGTTGTCGTTGGCATCACGAAACTTGTCGAGAGCTTTGAAGATATGCGATGTTAGACACGAGGTTTTCTGTCCATCTGTCTCGTAGGCACTTGTCAGGGTGACGTAGTGGGTGAGATCTCTGTCCAGAGTGGCAATGAGAGAAACTGGAAAGGAGAATGAAAATATTCAATTGAGATATTTCTTTCGGAAAAGGTAAATGACGTTAATTAATTCAAAATTTATATAGAAAGTTTATAGTACAGTTGGATTATGAATTTTCTTGACATATTCTGCAGAAATAGAAGATGACATTGATTCTTCATATTCGAGTGAACGCCTTTTTCTTACAGATAAAACCCTGCAATAAGAAATAATTTAATTTTTTTCAGTGAAATTTCAAGTGAAAATTCTTGCAATACTCAACACTACTTGATGTACCTATATGGAATTTCAAAGGTTTTCATTGAAAAATCTATCAGTTTCATGCAACTTTTTGAATAATTTTGTCTTCAATCAAATTGAACCGAATTGATAAGTAAATTTCAATGGAAAAGGTGAATGGTGACATAAATGCTTCACATTCGAGTGAAGGCCTTTCTTTCAGACTCAAACCTTTAAGAAAATCATTAAAAATATTGGAAGTTCAAGAATATTAGTTTGGCAAACTCGGATAATAAACTCAATAGAGAATAGATTAATGTAACGCCAATGAATATATGATCAATAAAATTGAAAACAAATCAACCGCAAAAACAAATTATCACATCCTTGAAATAAAAAGGAAATTTTCCGAATTCCATAATAAGGAAAGAGATCATGGTAAAATAATTTTTTCCTGAATGCCTGCTCACGCAGGGTTTGAAGGGAATGAGAGAGCGGATATGTTGGCAAAGAACGCAAACAGCGATGGGAACCCGCTATACCGTACTCCATATACAGACCTAAAATGTATTTTTAAAGCAGAAGAAAAATGTAATATGAGTAACAAAGATAGAAAAACAAACCGAAGAAATCAGAAATAGAAAAGGGAAAAGCGTGCAATATTTCGACAAATACTACAGAGAATCATTTCGACCCTGGTACCAGGGAAATAAATTATCAAAAGAACTCATCGTTAGAATAAACAGAATAAGAGCGAACCATTATCACCTGAACGCCTCACTCAAGAGAATGTCACTGATCTCAGATGCGAGCTGCAACTGCGGGGCAGAATCCCAGGACATTGACCACATACTATGGCAATCCGTTAGTCTCCGCAGAGACTAGAACTAACAGCCAAACTGAGATAATTGAAGTTTTTTTTTCCGTATTGGACTTTCCAGTTCATGGTGGTAATCGACGCCGAAACTCTCACAGCAATAAACAATTTTTTCACAAAATATAAGCTCCGCATATAAAAGGCGAAAAGTATTTTTAAAAAACAGTGTAAAAAGAAAATGTACGACCCCCTATCGACAGTGTAAATCACTCTGTTATGGGTTCTATATTATAAACCAATAAAAAAAAATAGATAAATGTATATGTGCCATTTTGGAAATTCTTCAATTATTCTCGTCATAAAACATATCAGAACAGTGAAGATATTTCTGCAGATAATTTCTCTACCAAACAAGAGATTTTTCAAAATTTTTACTGAAAATCATCAATTCCATAAATCATCCCATGAGTAAAGATTTGAATTAGAATAAATTAATCCGAATAAATTAGTCGTACCTTCCTTCAATGGTACCAATTTTCAATTATTCAAATCATCAATTTATAACATTAACATCCGTAACTGATTTGTAACTGATGAAATGAATGAGACAAAAAAATCAAGAGAAGAAAATGCAAATACTCACTATAATTAACGTTTTTATCATTCTTATCCTGACACACATCCACCCCAACAATCATCAGTCTCTTCAGAGGCATGTGAATGGTCCAGGGTGTGCCTCCCATTTTGCAGTTGAGTTGAATGGCCACTTTGATGGCAAAATCATCCTGCTCGTCTGAAGTGAAACATCCATCGGTGATTACTTGACAGGGCACTGAATTCTCCTCATAACATTTCTTTATTATTGCCGGGTAGATGTCGGGGTGACGTCCTGGAGTTATCACCATGACAGCTTTTGGCTCAAATTCAAAAAATGCTCTGTCGAGCGTTGAACCGTAGCCCTCGAGTGTTATCTCCGTCAATTCCACCCACCGAGGCTTGGATAAGTGGAAATTACGAGTGTTTTTCATCACTTTTGCCACGAATTCCTGGGGGAGAAGATTATGCGATGTATTTGGAGAAAACAACATCATTATTATGACGGAGAGAAATAGAGATTCATATTAATATTAATAATAATATCACAATATTCATTGCATTTAATATTTTTCTGCGATTAATAGTGAAATTTTAGTTAAAGTGGACAATTCGATATTATCAATGATTTTGGTATGTTTCAAGTTTCAATGAAGATACCTGAGCCTTAATTATTTTAAGGTGCAACTTCTCTTAATATTAATAATTTAATGATTCATCATTGATTCCATCATAATCAATAATTATTCAAATAAAACAAAAATATTAGTTGAACAGAAGAAACGATAAAGACTCTATTTGAATTATTTATGGAATAACAGAAAAAGGATTTGATAATCTTAAGAGGAGACCACACTGAAATTTCGAAATCGCTAACGCCTTCATCTTTCATGCTGATAAGTTTACTAGTTCAGTTTTAATGTTAAAAAATAGAAAAACATTCCGTTTTGATTTTTTTAATGATCAGAAAGAACTTTAGAGGGATAAAATCTTTCAAAGTTTCTTCATGACGCAATTCTCAACCGATTGACTCACCTATATATAATCTGTACACAAACATAGCTAAATGAGCTTTTTTGAAAATTTTCTATTTTTTGAGTTTTCCAAATTGCTTCCTCAACATTAGCTGAGGTGAAAAATTTGAAAAAGTAGTAATATTGAACTACATCATGAATCGGTGAAATATGATTTTTTTCGGATCTTAATGTTTTCTTTTTTTTTTGCATTAAAACAAAAGTATTAAACTCATCAGCACGATAAATAAAGGCCCCTGCGATTTTGACAAAGGATGAGATTGAAGAGAACAATATTCGAAAGATTATTTCACTCACCTGAGTTTCGACTCTGTATTGTGATGGTGTCACCACGACCCAATTACGAAGTTCTTTTGCATGGAAAAAACTCTTCTCATTGTACGCCAGCAACCAGTTTCCTTCACTGTCGACATCTGCCTGACAACCGCCCCCGAAGATCAATTTCTGAGGTGTGAGAATCCTTCCTGACACCTCGAAGAGCTTTGAATCCATCAGCATATTCCATATTTCAAACTCCCTCTGGAGTACAGGGTTACTAAGCAAGCGGTGATTGACATCTTCTAATCTCTCAATACGTGTTTCAGGCGTTACTACTCTTTGCGCTGCGATCCAAGATCTCACGTCTGTTTCATTCTTCAGTGATGAAATTAATCCTGTAATTGAAGTTAATCATTTGACTAATTTTTTAAGAAAGACGAGGGGATTTTCTTTTCTCTTGTAGGGATCTTTGGCTTTTGCTTCCGAATGGAAGCTTTATAATAGTTCAAATTTAAGTTTTGAATTGTTTGTGGTCTACCAATTGATTATGATTCAAAATGAATCGACGGAATTTAATTTTTTTTAAATGTAGATATTGTTTAGCCTTCTCCATAAATATCAATTAAAATTTTATTCATATACTAATTTTTACGATTTTCTAGTATTTTTAAAAATCGGTTGTCACACGATAACTAAAAAAATTATCTGAATTCATTGAAGGATTACTCAAAAAAATTCTTGATCGTTGTTTTTATTTGTAGAATAATTTTCAAAAATTTTGTATTTTTCTCAACTTTTCCTGAAAGTGAATTTTTCGACGGGTTCTGCAAATATCGTGTTTTCAATTCATTCAATTATGCATGAAGAATGTTTTTCTAATACCATTTCATCGAAGTTTCAAGATAATATAGATAGTATCAGTTTTTCATTCGATTTAAAAAAATAATTTTCACAAAAAATCTAAGATTACACGATTAATCGAAAAGAAACACAATTCGATTGAACATATAATATAACACAATAAATGATAAACAATAGGAGAAAATTATATGCAAAATGACCGTTCGGAAGCATATTGCTAATTTATTAGCAAAAATAGTTATACTCTATGAAGAAAAATGCAATTTCCCACATGTTTTTTCTTTCATGATGTGGAGCTGATCACTTCTTCCTTTTTGTTTTACATATAGTGTGAAGAAATTGAAAATTGGAATGAATTCCAAACAGAAATGTAACTAATCTTCTAATGCAGAATACGGCATTTGATGTACCTGCAACTGCACACACTTCAGGAATAAGAAAACACTTCTCAATTCTCCCACGACCTGACCGTGGTGTATCATCCGCAATCAGCATGGGCTGCGAGCTGTTCTGAATCTCGACCCCCCATTTCTCCCTGAAGAACTCTTTGTACGTCATGTTCCCTCGTTGAGCAGCTTCTGGTAGTTGTGAGAGTGGACTGTGGGAAAAGGTGACTCCCTCGATACGGTACATTTTGTTGTCATACAGTGTCCAAACTGACAGGCCTATCACTTCAGTTCTGAATGCGTCCTGTATGAAACAATGAAAGAAAAATTTGTAATATTATTGCAATCGTAATTATCGCAATAATTAGATTTACTATTCAGAACTATCATTTAGAACTATAATATATCAACAGTTATAAACAAAATAGATGAAAAATTGGAATATTATGGAATAAATTAACGCAAATCAGTGAATTTATGAATTCTTGAATGAATAGGTGAATGAATGTATAAATGAATGAATTAATTAATAAGTAATTCTTTCAAACGAAACGAAACGATTTTTCAACCAACACATGAATATTCAGTTACAAATTATGTTGAATTCTTGAATTAATTCAAAATTCAAGAATATATTTAACAGAATTTTCCTGATTTCAATTAATTTTCAAGAAATAATGAAACAAAAATTTACAGTTTCCTTTGATTTTTCATTAAATTTTGAGTTTTTAAAGATGTTTCCTTGAAATTCCAGTGCAATTGTCACTTAATAATAATTTTTAAAAAGTCTATAGAAAATTTCAGCCAAAAATTTTCTACTCGAAAAATGAGTCAATTGAGAAAGAAATTGCAATTTTATTCAGCTATAGACAATACATCATCCTCTCCAAAAGCTTATTATCGAGATAATTTCACATTGAAGTGAAATAAAATAACTAATTCCTGCAGTTTTGCTTCTAAATGGAAGCTTTGCAATGGCGTAAATTTAAATTTCCAATTTTTTGTGGTAGGGTAACTAAATATTGCCTAAAAAGTGAGAATAGGCGATTTTTAGATGATGTCTGTACGCACGTATGTATGTGGCCTTTTTCTTCATTTTTTTTTCTCAAAATTGGTCAAACTATGGTCTCGACTAACTTTTGACAGACCTGAGTTAAACTCTGGCTGAATCCTGAATAAACGCTGATTAAAACTCGGCTATACACTGATTAAACCATGATTGAACCTTGATTAAATCCGGACTGAAAACGAATTCGAGTCTTGAGAGGGTCTGAATGTAGAATTATTTGATAGAACGAAATAATACGGGAAATTTTGATGACATTTCAATTGATGAGAGTACTATAACATGAAAAAAATGGAAGAAGAGAATAGTGAAATAACTATCTTTCGAACGTTATCTCGATGTTTTTTTTTCATCTTTCGTCATCTGAAATGGTCAATTAAGTCCTGCATCATGCAGAAGTTTTGAAAGATTATGAATGAATAATAAAAAAAAAGTAGAAAAAATTCGTAATTTTTTCAAAGAGCATTTTTAATTTATATTCAGAATAAGTTGAATAACAAGAAATTGAAAAATGTATCTGATTTACGGTGACAAATGGCGGCCCGTTACCCAATATCATGCAGGGGGAAGACTGATTTGGTAAATCTTTTTCCACATTGCCCAGAGACATTTATTACGGAAAAGGCTTTTTGAAAAAAGTTGTAATATTTTGGAGAATTTTTTAATCACACTTTTATCACATAAAAATGGCAGATGACTACATACCACTGTTTTGAAAATTGAGATACCTAGCTGTCACTTCTCATGAGGAGTTTTCGTATTTTGTTATCCACCATGGAAAATGGCAGCTAATAGATAATTTGCCACGGCGAATCAGATATTTGTAATTTCCACTTTTTTCAACTCATTCTGAATCTCAATTAAAAACGCGTTTTGAAGAAGCTCAGAATTATTTCTGTTTCTTTTTATCATTCTATCATAATTTTTGGGAATTTCTACATGATGTACCACTCAATTGACAATTTTGGATTACGAAAGATAAAAAAAAATCCAGATAACATTCGAAAGATAGTACACCCGGGCCTTAAAAAAAGAAGCCATTCGAAAGCAAATTATTAATTTATTAGCAACCATTACCATATTCATTTATTTAAAAAATGCCACTGTCCATTTGATTCATTCAAAATTACCTTGTAATCAGGTCCATGATCCTCAATGGCTCTTTCCAGCAAATCCAGGACAGACATACGGGAGAGGACTTTGTGTGTAACGTCCACACCGATGAGAACATTCTCATCGAACTTGCTAATTGCAGTCATATACCCAGGGCACACCTCCAACGTGTGATTCTTGATTCTCCTCTGATTGACAGAAAATAAAATAATAGAGTGTGAATGAATAATCTTATCAAGCATTCATTGTGAGTAATGAGAATGTCAAAATTCCTTGATACTTACTGGTGAATTGAGATCGTAGTAGCACTTGCCAATCATTCTGAAGTTCAATTCTTCGAGAGATCTCTTCATCAGAATCTCGTACATCCTCAGGTGACGAGTCTCCTGGGGCTCCAACTCATTGACAAACTCCAGGTATATATGATTCTCTGCATCAGTCAGGGGGAGTTCCAGTGGCTGCAACGAGAGGCGAAATAATTAGCATTAAAGATGTTATTACAAGAGTAAATGAGGTTAAAGTTGTGGATGAGAAAATTGGTTAACGTATGGAATTCAGAACATTAATTCCAAATTTTTATACAATAGTCATCGGAAAATTCAGAACGAAAAAATAAAAGAAATTAATCCTAACTACTTTCAGGGATTTCCTTCCTCAATATTTCCAAAGAAAAATCATTCGAAAACTTCATTAGCAAATGTCTGTACACACGAAGTGTCGTTTTGCGGACAGTGATGAAAATTGCATTTTCGGATGTTTTAGATCATATTGGGTAAACAACACAAAAACTCCAAAACTTAAATTTGATCGATTACAAAGCTTCCAATTAATCAAGCAAAAAGATCTGACGTTTTGAACCACAGCTACTAGTTTTAGAGATATTTGCAAAGGAATCTTCGTGAAATGGACTACTCTAAACAATTATAATTAGAAAATTTCCGGAAAAACAAAGAAGACATCACGTATAGATAAAATTGAAATTGTAAATGCATTTTTATAAAGAAAACTTGAAAAATTAATGCAAAGAATTTGTATTGAAAGAATGTCAACAGAGTGAGAATATAGCGAAATAAAAATCTATTGCCTTTTTTTAATGACACATCCATCAGGAATAAGTTAACAACAAAGTGGCTCTAAACTATTCCTGAGAATTTTTTTTTCTAAAATACCTTCAAATAAGAAAGGTTTAAAAAAGGTTTAAAACTTCATCAGAAAATCTCAATTGTAGAAAAATCAATTGACCAAAACAAAAAACATCCAACATTTTCAAACTAAGTTTTTAATTTTTTAATATACTCAAAATATTCTGTTTAAAATTTATACTCTTTTAGGTAAGTAAACGGACATTTAATTCTCGTGAAATATAACTTACAGGTTTCTTCGTACAGTACAGGCTGCATCGCTCTTCGATGTAAGGTCCAATGACGTGAGAATGGGCTTTGATTAGCTCTGTGATATTGTCAGGGCGATCTCCCTCGAATTTGATTTTGTACTTATACAAATACTTGTTTAAATCACAAGCAATCTTGAAGTAATTAGTTCTCAGTGTGATTGGCTCTCCTGTGCCAGATAAATCAATGAATAGTTTTCATTAGAATCATTAATTGAGAAAATTAACAAAATATCAAGAAAAATGTCACTTACCCTTTTTGTCCTCAGGATCTTCCTCAAGGACTTCCTCATCCAGATACATGAGTTGCTCCTCTGTGTGAACAAAATATAAATTAAATCCAATGAAAAAGAATGACATTAATGAAACCGAATTTGTACAGCCAAAGAAATTATCTGTTTGAATTGAATATACTTTATTTAAATGAAATAAATGGGTTTACTCTCATAATTCGTAATTACATAAATAATTATTTATACGACGAACATAATGAATTTATTAACATGTAGTATTTTCCTTTATTTGGATCAGATGAATTGTTTATTTGATTTTAACAGAAGATTTATTTGGCATGAATGAATTATTGTGATTAAAACAGTTTCATTGAAGTAAATATGCAAGCTTATTAATTTGCGATAAACATATGTATAATATTTTGAGGTGAATAGAATAATTTGAAATAAATAGTTTTATTTAATTCAATTAAGTTAATCCTATGGGTGCACTTGCATCTATGAAACCAACGGAGAAACTCTAAAAAAATCTTCTAGATAATTAAACAAATTACTCACCACTATCATCTTCGGAATCGCTGTCCAGCCTGTCGACATTTATGAGGAAGGATGTCTCCCCTATAGCAGATAAATCAATGAAAAAATGTTCATCAAATTTACAATTACATGAAAATTTAACATCAAAATCGAGGACTGAATTTATTTAGGAAATAAATTAAAGAAAACAAGGCGTAAACATCGAGAGGCTTCTTATATAGCTACGAAGTTTCTGATATGAACTGTTTTTCGATGTTTTCCCCTGATTCAAGACGATTCCGTGTTGAACGGGGTGGAGAAGACTTCTAGATTGAATATTTATTAATTAAAATCACTCACATTGATCATCATCTCCATCTTTATCGTCCAATGCATCTCCAGTACACCAGGCCGTTTGATCTGCTCCAGACAAAAAGAAGAAGTGATTAATTACCTTCATGAGATCATGAAGACATGAATCAATTGGTTTTAAAATAGAGAAGAGTCAAATTAAATTAAATTTACAAATAATTTTTGAAAACTCAGACATGAATTCATTAATTAGAATTTGTCTAGACTCATTATGAAGGGAACAATTGTAGACTTCATGAATAAGAAATCTCGCATTTATTCAACAAGTTCAATGAGTTGTTGACAAATTAATCAATTGGGTTTGAGAGAGGGGCAAGTGAAGTTAGATTAAACTCTCAAAAAAATATACAAAACTGAGGGATAAATTTATCGATTAGATATCTGGACTCATTACAAAGAGAGGAATTGCTCTTCATAAACAAAAAAGAATCATTTGAATTCTCTTACAATTCAATGGGTTGTTGACATTCAAGAAACTCACCTTTTTTATCATCGTAAATTCCCAGTCTGCCTTCATCACGTCTGTTTACAAACGCAAATGACTCATCTGCACCAAAAGAACGAACGAAAATTATAACTATGATTTATTGAGCCCAGTAAAAGCTCTGGATCGTTAGGAAGGGGAAATTTAATTCAATCACACTCACCGATTACGGTCCCTTCCACAGAACTCTCCATTTTCCTCAGAAGAAAGCTATCATTAGAACCAATGAAAAATTAACCCTTTTGATGGAACAATAGAATAAAACATTGGAAATGATTTTATTTCTCATAATCTCAATTCATTTTATCAATTCAATGTAGTTATTCCACTTGGAATCAATAGTTGAAATCAACAAGTAACGAATGAACAATTTAATGAAAAAAATAATCACTCAAAGAAACTGCAACAAAAGAAAATATGAAAATAAAAGTACATCAATGGAGTGTTTTTATCCCCGTTTCTCCCCCTCCCTCGCCAACAAAAAAATAATACTACAAAAAAATGACTGAAATAATGGAAAATTAATGATCAAATTTTCTCTAATGAAACAAAAATTCGTATAGATAATTTTCAATTATCCAGAACTATATAAAGATTTTCTAATAATGTATTCAACATGTTGTGTTTCCACTATTAAAATGTTCAGCAGTTTGTTTCATTAGTTACCGCCCCTACCACTTGTTCCCTCCCCTACATTATCAAGACAAAGGATCGCAAAAAAATGGGAAGAGAGAAGAAAAATAAACACTGTCATTCACTCTATTATTCTTAATCTCAATTCATTTGATCACCTTAATGTCGTTATTCCACTTGCAATTAATGGATGAAATAAGCGATGAATGAATGAACAATTTAATTAAAAAATAATCATTCCAGGAAACTGCAACAAACGAAAAGGATGTTCACACTTCTCGAGCTTGTGAGCAGATGAAAATAAAAGTAGGTCAACAAAGTGTTTTCATCTCCCTTTCCTCCCCCTTCCCTTCCAAGAACAAATAATCCTAAGCAAAAATTACTGAAATAATGGAAAATGGAAGAAAATCAATTTGCTAATTTTCTCTGAAAAATTAATTTCTCTAAAAAAAATTAAATTATGGCAATTATGATGTTAATAATTTTTGATGAAGTGTTGTCACAAGAAAAATGTTCAGCGGATTGCTTCCATTATTTACCACCCCCACTGTTACCTCTCCCACATTCGCAAGACAAAGGATTGCAAAAAAATGGTTGAAAAAACCAAAAAAGGGAAAGAAAAATGGATGAAATTTCTCTTTGGATTTTGCAAGGAATTGCAGTCAAAATCAATCGTTGCAGAAATGTTCGAATCTTTCAAGTTCTTGTTGCAGATCAACGAATGTGAAAAGAATGCAACTTTGAATGACTCGAGGGCTAGATATAAACACCAACGAGTTGATCAGAGGGCTCGCTGATACCCGAGCGAAATCATCTGATGTAATTAACTCATGTGCGACGAAAATTGACTCGACAAGGGATTAACATGTATGTACTTACATTCTCGAATATTGTTTGCAGTCAATTACGCCTAAATGTGGCACAAATCTTCGATTTTATTATCTTTACCTGCGGGAACTGGCGGGAGATGAATGAACACGATCCGTCTCACACCGGCGCTATCACCTCAATAACAAATACTTCCTTCCTCCCCTGGGTTCAGCTGCTGAACTGCGCGCTCGCTGTGCGCATGCGTATTTTCATGTCTGGGGTTTGAATGCGGAAATGGCTTCAGGGGAGCGATTTTGCTCGTTTTATGTCGACATAAAATTGGAAATTTCAACCAATGATCGTTCTGGACTCGGAATATTCAACTAGGATTGGTTGAAATTTATGATTTTATGTCGACATAAAACGAGCAAAGTCGCGGCCCAGAAGAAAATCACTTGTTATACATTTTTATTCACATATTTAATTAGAAAATGACGGATTATTTTATGATAAAAATTATTCAGGAACAATGAATTTTGATGATTTTTTCGACAGGCGTCATATTGCTCTTTTCCACTTTTTTTTCCTCCCAAAATTTTCCGCATCCCCGTTATTGTTCTTCTTTAGGCTGCTGGAGGAACATATGAAACTATTCCCTGATGATTGAAAGAAAGCGGAAAATGACTTTTTTTTGTAAATGTGTATAGTTATTGTTACTAATAAATTAGCAATGAGCTTACGAATGGTTTCTTTTTAAATTCTTATTTTACTATTGTCTTCTATTTTTTGATGTCATAGTACACTCACCCATTCAAATTTTCCATCAAAATTTTGCGTATTATTTCATTTTGGCAAACCATTCTACATTCAGACCCTCTGAAGACTCAAATTCGTGCATAGCCGGGATTTAATCAGAGCTTATTCAGGGTTTAGTCAGAGTTTAACCGAGGTTCTGTCAAAAGGTCTCCGACACTAGTCATGCGATTCAACTCATCTTCAATAGAAACTATCATTATCAGGAGAGCTCCTCTCCAAATTTCAAGTTGATATTTCGATTTCTGCACAAGCTAGAGTGATTCTAAAAATTTATTATGAAAAAACGGAAAAACAGGAATATTTCCAAAATTTTGTATGAACGGGTGTCTATGTTTTGATTGATTCAGATAGACGGCATCGCAACTAATATTTGAAAAACAAAAAATCGAAATCGGTTCCCTACTTTTGAAGATATTTGCGGAAATTGATTTAAAAACGAATGGCTTTTTCTCAAAAACTATCAGACTAAAGTTTTGCAAAGGTAGTCCTCATTAAGACCTAAATTCTGACGAAATTTCAGATTTTTTGGAATTACTTTAGCCATTTAATTACTCAATTTTCTAATAACTGACCACCGCGGAGGTGGCGGTGGACGTGATTACATGCAGACATGGTCGCCAAACATCGTATTTTTACGTTTCAGACCATTCTACATCATTTCCAATCAAAATTAGAGAATGTGAAAATTGGACGATTACAGTTCTTCCATTCGGAAGCAAACGTCATAATTCTAATGTTGATAAGGTCTATAATCCATTCCAACAATTCATCATTGAAGACAATGATTTCTATAATTTATTTAATTTGTTTTTGAGGGGAAATAGAACTCTTGTGCCTGTATGCAATTATTATTTTTTATTTATGATACTACTTCATTGACTCAAGAATGCAATGATGGCGTCGATAAAGTTGTTTCATAGATCAAAATTAAATTAAATTGTAGGAGGAAACATAACTCTAGAATTTGATATAGAAAAAGAGGGTCCGTCTCCCCTTAACCCGTCAGTAGGCGCGCTATGAGCATTTCCCTCGCGCAAGAATAGTCAATCTATATAGGACGTCTCTATAGTGCGAGTGAGATACTAAAAAGAGCGCGCCTACCGACGGGTGTTAACTCAACGTTTCAAGCCGTAGGACAGAGCTATAGGCCAACAGTAAAATTTCATGACAACTCTTCTCCTTTCCGCGAGAATTTCCCCCTCTATTCTTTCTCCCACTCTTAGCTCTCATCCCCACTCACTGCCTCGTCTATAACGCGAACCCTCACCCCTATTCGCTAATTACCGTTTAACTGCACAATTATCGATAAATTTTATTTTCTCCTTCAACAAAATTAAAAAAAAAATATTCCCGTCAATTTACCTATTTTAAGAATAGTTAATTTTTGGAAAAATGCTGGATCTGCAATTCACACGAGGACCGCCTATGGAATGATACACATGCGCGCGCAATGTTGTTGCTAAGAGCTCGCGCCGGCCGGACCCAGCACCCAGCACGTCGTCTTCAGCCATCATTGCGTCAGTACGTCTCGCGTGTTTTGTGTCAGAAATCTAACAAAGAAAGCCATCAAGATGCCCCAGAAGCACTACGCTGTTGCCAATGGACGTAATCCTGGTGTTTGACAACTGGTAAAATAGATTTTTTCATTTATTCTTGAATTCAATTCTATAGTTCTTTGTTTTCGCTGAGGAAACTAGATTGATTTAATCAATGTTGCCGTTTTCGTGTGTTCCAGGGATGATGCAAAGGCTCAGGTCAATGGGTATTCTCACAATCACCACAAGAGCTTCCCAAGTCAGGAGGCTGCTGCAGACTGGGTCGCTCAGAATGGCGGTGGCTCTTCCTCAAGAGGGTATGTGCGCAATATTTTTCATAAAATATCTGTTAAAAGTGATGTTTGATAGTGGTTAACCGCGCAAGAGGGAAAGGGGAACGCTGGGGAGCAACGAATTTATTCGAACAGAAAAAAAAATTCTAGGAATTACGTGACAACTCACGTAGTGGTGTGGCGGAATACTTATTCCGGGAATTTTTAGGTGAAGAGAACTTTTTATCCTTGATTTGCCGACTTTTTTTCATGTTACGGATATCCAAATATATTATGGCTGTTTTTTTTCCCATTGAAATGCGTTTCTACTTTTGACTTACATTTGACCTCAAGTTTCCCGACAGTTTACTATGATTTTACGATTTAAACTGCACGTCTGAATTTGAATCTCGGTATTGAACTGTTAGAAAACATTTTTAAACTGAAAAAAAATTCGTATGTTTAATTTTACAGAATGATTGATGAAATGATTAAAAAATTGCAATTTTTGAAAATTACTAGCATTTTCGATAAATAATATATAAACGATCAATTTTCCACCATAAAAATCACTTGTTCGGAATCGTAACAAATTTATTCATATTCAGAATTTTACCAGAAATCGATTTTATGCCTAAAAAAATTAGGTTTCCGAAAGTTTCAACAATTTTAATTATTCATTTACAAACAAGGTTGCGAGGCAAAAGATGAAAATTCACTCTTATTCCAAAAATTTCATTGAATTGAAAGGTAATTTCATCCGAAGGAATGGTATTTGTGAGTTTACGCGGAGAAAGTACCTTCAGGAGGATGAATTTCACGAGTTATTCGCAGTCAATATTTACTTTAGGCCATTCTGTAGTTTTTCTATTGACCTTGGGCTCGCGTAAACAGGGGAAGACGCGCAAGGCGGATAAAAATTACGCTTTGGCTCAAACGCTTGTCGTGGAAAGAGATGCGAATGTTCCTTGGAAAACCCTAACAATCCCACGGAAAGTAATCTTTTTCTTGAAATCGCAATCATGTTCTCCGAAAAATTTTAGGAATCGTTCAGTTTTCTCATATTTTTTTCATATTTTATTCTTCTTTTTGTTCGTTAGAATTTGAGTCGATCGTTTGATTACCACGAGATCCATTCAATTTTTATTTCATTTCGTTTATTGAAAACTTTTATTTAGTTCGTTCGTCTAAGAGAGTTCTTATTATCTTTCAATATTTCGTTCATTCTAACAGGGATTTCAGTAGTGAAATTCCCAGAATCTATGGGAGATAACAACATTTTCGTAATGATCTTTTTTGTAGAGCGAATTAAGGGCTACGAAAAAGACATAACAAAAATTTTACTATTTCTTAGATTTAGAAATATTCATTGAAAACTGCCCCATAATCGAAATTAACTTGAATCCGTCGTTTTCTTTGTTTTTTGTTTGACGATGAAAACGTTGATCCTTCGATGTTCAACGTATTGATTGGATTATTCATTCCATTTCTTTATTAATTGTCGAAATTTATTATGAAAATTGCGGTTTTGAAGTATCCAGCGAAGTGCCAGGGGGGAGGTGGGAGAAATAATTCGAAGTGATGAATTAATTCCAATGAATTCTTATCGTTTTTATAATTTTTAAAAGGATTGACTAGAATATTCATTCACCTTTTTTCGTTTTTTCATTTTCCGAAAATCGAGTTTTTTTCATATTCGAGGAAAATTCCGTTTGGCCTGATTTGCAAACACGGGAAACCAACATTCCTGATAATTAAGAAAAATAAGTTGCATTCCCTTGGACAAAATTAAATAATAGTATATTATGTCATCAGGCGATAAAAGTATCATCTGGCGAATGTGATTATAATGCTTTTATCGCCGTGTGACATACAATATTCTATGTCGTTGGGCCCGAAAACCGCGAGCGAAGCGAGGTTTGAATCGCGGTTTATCGGGCCTAATGACATAAAGAAATTTCTTCTCGTACACGGGTTTTCATGTGATTTCCTTTCAAATTGGTAATTCTGCAGTGCAGTGGTAAACTAGGATAAGTGCAATTTTTCTGAAAAATGTTCTATTCCGTGAATCGCAAGTTCTCTCAAACGTGGTCAAATTTTTGAACTCTCCTGAAAAAGTTGAATTTTTGCACTTATCCGAGTTTACCACTTCGCTACAGAATTCATCTACTGGAAAACTAAAAAGAAATAGAAGGCAACGTGATATTTAAAACTTTAAGCCCCGTATAAACTCATTCTAACGCCTACATTCAGTCCATATAGTCCATTTTATTTCTGAATAATCAACTTGAGTTGGTGAATTGAATTTCCTATCACCATGAAAAAGATAACCCTGTCAGTCGAGTAAAAATTAATAAATTTTTCAGTCTGTGGTTTTGCATTAACATTTTTAATCTTGAATATGTCGTTTGTTTCAACGCATGAATTCGATTTTCATTCGTTCGCTGAAATTTCTCCATAGTAAATCTGAATATTTTATTTGTTTCATCTCATGTCACTACCGGTGTTATGATTCATCCGCTTCGCTCACAAGGTATGCGCGTGTTGACATCTACCACAGGAGCCAGGGATCCAACAACGTAAGTGCCAAATTCCGAAATCTGTTGCGTGGTTCGTACGGAGAGATACTTAGATATCTAACTAATGTCTAAAGTATTTTGACAATGAAAACGATAATTGTAAGGACAAGTTATTCTTCATCAGAATCATTAAGGATAATCGGATAAGCTGGGAGGGTTGGAAAAAAAGCAGCCATTTTTTATTTTTTTTACGTATTTTTTAAATGATGAAAAAGGCGTGTCAAAGTTTCAGACTGTTGGGGAGCATGGTTAATTTATTACGAATTTTGGAAAAAGTGGTCATTTAACCCGTGATCTTATGGAAATAAAACAATGCTTCCCTTCGGAAGCAAAAACCGCAAAACCCAAGGAAAAAATGCAGCCAAAATCATGAAACTTTAGACACATTTAGAACATGTGATCAATGATTTTTTAAGTGAAAAAGATTGTCGCCTAGGAGCATTGTTTATTAATAATAGCGAAAAAAATAATGAAAAATGAAACGCGGTCAATTTAAACGTTTCTTGAGAAAGAGAGACCGATGAAGCGTTGTGATTGGAGCTCCCTCGAGCCAGTGGTACCAGCTCCTGGTGAAAAAAAACTACCGACAATGTTGCCACTTTTTCGCATGGATCAATATTTTTTCATTTATAAAAAAAAAAAACAATCTGAAAACCATCCAATGCGTGGAACAGATACAAATAAATTTGTTTAGCTCCAAAAATAATTCTTAACCGGAGATACTCTCTAATATTGCCTGAATTTTGAATCTGAATGGAAAAATTTTTTTTCGCTTCCGAATGGAACCATTGTATTCGTCGGATTTTGGCATTCTCCAATTTTGCCTGGAAATGATGTAGCATGTTATGAAACGGGAAGAAATGATGTTTTTAGAAAATGTCTGTGTGTCCGTCTAATGATTCGGTTTTTGGGTGATCACTTTTTAGAAAATATAACATTAATACGGGAAAATTCATTCATATAAATCTGAAATTTTGACCCATAATAGGTACTATTGAGCTCAACTTCGGCCCACAGTTTTAGCCCGATTGCTGCAATAATTCCAGAGATATTCAACTTTTTGTATAAAAATGTTTTGGTCAATATCTGAAAAACTACTTAACCGATTTCAATTTTTTTTTCAAAATACTCGTCTTGATATCTTCTATCTAGATCAATCAAAATATGTGTACTCGTTCATACAAAGTTTTCGAGATATATCCCATTTTTCATTTTTTCCCGAAATTCCTTGTACGCACGATAACTTGAGAAAAACTTGAGATAGGAGGTTGAAATTTGGTAGGATTGTAACTCTTATAATACCAAAGGTTGGGATTGTGGCTGGGCGATATCGGATGAATAGTTCCAGAGATATTTAACTTTTTGTATAAAACTAATTTTTTCACCCGGAGCCAAAGGGTCAGATTTTCGGTTTTTCCAGGGGGAAAGTCGAGTTTCGCCAAAATCGAATTTTTTAACCGGGTGAACGTTGATTCCGGCTATTTACGCGACGGACTATTCAGAACTCTCAAAAGTATGTGGAAAAATGAAAACTGAAAAAAAAAATTTTTTTCACCGGGGGCCAAAGGGTCAGATTTTTGGTTTTTCCAGGGGGAAAATCGACTTTCGCCAAACTCGCCTTTTTTTAGTCGGGTGAACATTGATTCCCACTATTTAAGCGATGGGCTATTCAGAACTCTCAAAAGTGTATGAAAAAAGTGATAACTGAAAAAAAATTTTTTTTACCCGGAGCCAAAGGGAGTCCTCTTAATAAAAGATCCAAGTTTTCTATGAAATGTTTTCAACTTATTTCAAATAGTTCCTACCCATATTCCAATACAAAAGTTTCTTGATAACAAAAAAATCAGTTGATTATATAGAAAAAAGTTACTTAAATGTGTATGGAAATGTTAACGTAATGGTTTTACTCCCAGTTCTCAGAACTCTCGCGTCGCGTGAGCGTGTGTAAGTAGTGGAGGTAGCGACTGTATTTCGCTCCGCGTGAGCGTGTATAAGTAGTGGAGGTAGCGACTATCTTTCGCTCCGCGTGAGCGTGCATATGTAGTGGAGGTAGCGACTGTCTTTCATTACCTCACTACTTAAGGGGTAACAGAATGTCGCTAATTTGCCAAATTTTGAACAAATTTCCTGCTGAAAGTTATCGATATTTTTACAAATCCAAGCACATTCATCGCCAGGAAGCGATGATGAAGATCAGTGAAAAAAAAACGTAAAAGCATAAAGCATTACACGTGTTTGGCCATCTCTTTTTTTATTATAGATAAAAATATCAAATAAACTAATACATGTTTTTCTTTCACTTTAATTGGTACAGGGTTCAGGTGGACGCAAGTAAACTTCCAGGATGTCTTCTCGACTGTAAATGGAGTGATCCGCAAGCTGGTATTGATACAGTGGTTTAAATAATTGAAAAAATTAAGGACACGAATAAAAAAAAATACATTAAAAGATTGTGCCTTCAGCAATTGTTGAAAGTATTCATATCCTTAATTGTTATAGGAAACAACATTAAGTCTCAACACTTTAAAATGAGCATTCGTTTTAAAAAAATGTACGCGTATATTATTTTGCTCATTGCAATTATTCAAAAATAATCGAGTGAACAATGACATGTCAGTAAAACAACCACTCAGCCCTCGTTTACAGTCTTCATCTATCTTTATATGTGTGTTTCTACTTTTCATATATCTGTACACATTTTTGGAAAAGTTTGCATCCTCGGGCGATAATGCTAATCCATTGTAGTTAATAAAAGACCTGTGTGTACATTAACCCTTTGTTTTTTTTTTCAAAACCTACCAAAATAATAAGAGAGCTAAGATATTTCGATCAATTTCTGAGATTTCAATCGTCAACTTTCGAACAGCTTCAATTCCTAAGAATGCATAGCACGAAAGGAAATTCTGAAAAGGATATGAGATCGTTATAACATGTGATTTTACCTGAGTCATTGTAACTCCAACGAAAATCCACGAAATATCAACCATCCTCAATGTAAGTATCATTTGTATTCATTATTTTATAGGTTCAGGTTGAGGCATCATCCATCTCTTCAGTAAATTCCTCTTAGAGGATATTCCATAGCTCATAGCGCGACCAACGGAGTGTTAAAAACCCCAATGTCCAGAAAATTCGATTTGAATGAATGTTTTTTTATTGGTTTGAAAAAATGTTGAAGAATCAAGATTTACCCTTGCGTCGCATGTGAAAATCTAAATTGTCCTTATGATTAAAGGCTGGAATCTGATTTTCTTTCCATTACACACGGAGATAAATTTTTGGTAAAAATTATAGTGAAATCGAGGTAAAAATTACGCGGATGGAAGGGTAATTCTGTAGCAGTTTATTTTTGAAGTAATAAATATCCTTAGTGTGGATAAATTTTAATGAACATTTCCGGATAATATTTGTTCTTATCTGAGTAAAAATTGCCTGTATGCGCGAATAAAAATTATTACATATCTTGGTAGTTTTTACGAATATCTGTATAAAAATTACTGTTCCAGAATGGTGAAAAATACTAACCTTACCTACAAATCTCTTCCACGCACCACGCAGGTTCGGACTGAGATTTAATGACGTCGAGGGCGTAGCCTGGCTGAATATGCCTCTCTCTTGCACGCATTGCATTAGAGAGAGAGGCGCAAAGAAAAAAATAATTTACAAATTTACAAACTCCCCCCCCCCCCCCCCCCCCCCCCCC